ACACTCTGTGTTTGTCATTTATAAAAAGATAAATCACTTTTCTATAATACATCAATGATATTTCAATGGAATAAATTACTTATTGACTTATTCATACTTCAAAAACAGCATCAATAAGTGATTAACATAGGGGGGATCAAAATAAAATAAATAAAATCAAAATCAACCAGCCACCCTCCTCCCCTGACAAGTAAAGAACAGTCCCTAAAGTGCGGTGAAGTTTGTGGAAATGTGAACTGCTCATTTCTCCTCTGACACGTCACATACCTGTGTGCTGCCAGGGCTTGGCTGGTATTTTTGGGCAGTCATGACACCGACGAAGACTTCTTGGACCTGGAGCCGGGCTTCTCGGTCGCCGCCACGGAGCACTATGGCCTCCGTATTTGACAGGAATATGTATTTAGATTAGATTCAGATGTAGATGTAGATTCAGATTCAGAATACTTTATTAATCCCCGGGGGGAAATTGGAACAAAAACAATTTCCCCCCGGGGATTAATAAAGTATTCTGAATCTGAATCTGAATCTGTATTTCTGTCTGTGTCTGTGACCCCGCGTTCAACCCACAACCGGCAGGATTCGCCTTTAGTTTCTGCTGCAGCTTGGCTGCTCCCTGGTTTATCCAACCAGCATTAGCTTCTGTTCCTCAACTCCACCGGTCAAGCTGGCACTAATGTTTACATCCATTATCGTTGTCAGCAATGTCTGCTACAGAGCAGCTGGCTCTCGCGTTGTTTTCGAGATGCAAACTGTTAAAGCCAGTACAACCGATTGCTAGTCTCGCGATACCCGAATCCATGACTCTACAATCGATTCATCTAAGGATTCATGGCTGATTCGTATCGATTGAGGAGGCTGCTACTGACGCAGCTGTATCTCTCGCTTGTCAAACCGGATATCCGGTCGTATCGGTTAATCGTTCCCAACCCTAATATGTATACAGTGTTAGAAGATAACAAAACTTGTCAATCACATTTTCCAAAACCCAATGAAATGTCTTTAAATTGCTTGTTTTGTCAAATTACTGGCCTAAAACCCAAAGATATTCTATGTAAAATAACACAGATAAATTGTATGATTCACATTTAAATAAAACAGAGAAGAAAAGAAAAACAAAAAAGGAAAAAAAGGCAAACCTTCACATTGGAGAACCTAGAACCAGCAAAAGTTTGGCTTTATAAACAACTATAATGATAATAGTAGATTATCAAAATTGTCTTTGATTAGTTTTTTGAGTGACTAGTTGATAATCAACTTATTGTTTCAATGGTAGTTTCAGAGTGTATTTTTTAAGCGTTGCAATCCACAATATTACAGAGGAAAATAGTGTACTTTTTACATTTGACAGGCTCATTAAATAACATGTAGTTTCAAGACATCTTGGCCTCCTTGATTTTGTTATAGTT